AACAAGACCAAGTTGCGACAACGAGGTCAACCTACTTCAACCTTAATAAAGTTGTTTTTTCACTTAAATTTTATCAAAAATCTATTGACGTTACCAGACATCAATTGCGCCTTGATGAAACTTTCCCATGAGACACTTAAAAGTCATCCTATGTGAATTTCTCACAGTATCTGCGTCCATTAAGAGATAATTTTTCCTTACTTTCGACGCTAGTATGTCTTAAAACTATCATTAATTCGTCAAAAAGTACTTTGTAATCAAGGTCGCTTATGGTAAATTAAATACTGATATGGGAAATTTTCCCACACTCATATGACTAGGCCTTAAGATGAAATTTAATTTCACATAGCATAGCCTACTAAAAGGTTTTCTCATCCTGGCAGGGCTGCAGTTTCAACCTCTTCTGGGTCTCACCAACACCGAATAGTGCGCATTAAGTGCCTACACGATACCCTAAACTACGACGCCAAGGGCTCCAATGGGTCAGTTTGGTAGATGTCGATTTCATTGCTAGCCATGCTTCTCCCAAATCATACCTATACTAAGATTGTTTGTGAGATACATATCTATTTGTCATTGCAATTGACGACAATAATTGACAATCTTATTATAAATGAGATTTGTGAAAATGCTGACTCGCCTTGAAAGTATCATTTTTCCTGTGACTGAGTAGTGGAATGGTAAAGTGTCACAATTTAACACAAAATAACGGTTTTAAATATCGGTTTGAGAGCTGAGGAGACCAACACTAGATCAAAACTACAGTCCATCCTGGGTGGGAATACTATAATGAGGCATTCATTCATAAATGAAATTCAATGAATTTCTCCCACAATTAGAGATGAGTAGACCTCAAGTCTTGCCTCCCAAAATCTTCTCCTCCAACATAGACTGCTCTGAAGTGGTTACGTCGCTACGATACCCATTATCAAGCATCGAATCCTACTGTGGATGCAGATGAAACCCTAACGACGTCGAAACTGCAGTCAACTCTAGCCTGTATCAGATAAGCTTTTGGTAGATATCGTGAGGCCTTCTCATCCAAGTGTTGGTAGAACTCAACTATTCGTCGATAAGTCCTCTTAAACGACCCAAGGTGACTAGGTACTTATTCAAAAATTGCTGATAGTCTCGGAAACTATTCATAGCGGACTTTATTAGTTTGTGTATGGGGATGAAGAACAAAGTTTAGGTGAAAGAATACAGCTCACCAGTAAAGTTGGATGAAACTTTTGGATGCCCTTATTTTCCACCGTTCGGCTTGTACTTGTTTCCGTCTATTTGTAGTCCTGGCGCCTGTACACACTTTCGTAGCGCCACCCATTGCCGGGATAGTCTAGTTCAACGCATTGTCCCACTCGTCCCAGACTGGCTTCACAATTTCTGCCGTGACCTCCGACAATTGTGCGACTCAACACTTCCTCGTTTGCTAAATCCCCATCTTCAGTTGACCTCACTGGCATGTCATTTTTGTCCTTGTGTCTTTAAAGCTCCTCTTCCTCCTACTTCCCCTCTTTCTGCACCTCCTCTTCATCCTCCTCCTCCTCCCCATCATCATCATCATCATCATCATCATCATCATCATCATCATCCTGCTTTGAATGCCCGACAAGATCAATGTCCTCTTCATCTTCCACCTCTTCATCGTCGTCATCGCCAGCGTCATTATCGCCGTTTTCATCATCGTCCATACATCCCTCACGGCTTGTATCCAAACTGTGTTCGGAGCCATACTCAAGATCGCTGGCAACGACACTGCCACTCAGCAGAGGGTGTATCTTCTCCTCCGTCTCCGTTTCATGATGATAGAAGTAATTAAAGTTTGACACAATTACAGGCACAGGCAGAGCGATAGTAAGCACTCCTGCAATTGCACACAATGAACCGACTAATTTGCCCCAAACCGTGACTGGCCTCATGTCACCATAGCCCACTGTGGTCATGGTGACTACAGCCCACCAGAATCCATCCGGTATACTCTTAAAAAAAGTATTATTTGCGTCTGCTTCTGCAAAGTATACGGCCGATGAAAAGAGGATCACACTGATTAGCAGAAAAAAGACCAAGAGGCCCAATTCGCGGACACTGGCCCTCAATGTCTGGCCAAGAATTTGGAGGCCTTTTGAGTGTCGAGACAATTTGAAAATCCTAAAAACCCGGACTAGCCGAATCACACGCAATATAGCCAGAGAGGTGGCCTGATTTTGGCTTCTTGGATCGTCTACAATGGCGGTGCCCAAAGTGATGAAGTAGGGTATAATTGAGACGATATCAATCACATTCATGATCTCCTTGAAGAACGCCACCTTCCCTGGCGATGAAGCGAACCTCACCAGCAATTCAAAGGTGAACCAAATGATGCAGATGGTCTCAATAATAAAGAAAGGTTGGTCCAGTGTAGGTATATCGTCTTCCTCTATTGTCGGCATGTTTGGCACACCACTCAAGGGATCTGTTGAATTGACAACTTTGTAATGTCTGAAGTTTGGCAGGGTTTCGACACAGAATATAATTATTGACAGAAGAATTATTACGACTGATGTGATGGCCACAAATCGAGCTGGCATCGAGCTTTCTGGATACTCAAAGAGCAGCCAGACTCGCTTTTGAAATTCGTTTAGAGGCAAAACTTTGGTATCTTCTTTGATGAAGCCCTCTTCTTCCCGGTATTTCTCCAGTACCTCCTCCCCCAGTTCGTAGAATTTTATTTCTTCCGTGAAAATGTCGATTGGTACATTTACGGGCCTTCGAAGGCGACCGCCACTCTGGTAGAAGTACAGGATCCCATCAAAGCTGGGCCGATTTCTGTCAAAAAAGTACTCGTCTCTCAGTGGGTCGTAGTAACGGTTACGCTTCTGCGGGTTGCCCAACAGGGTGTTGGGAAACTGGCTTACCGTGTGAATCTGTGTCTCGTAGCGCAGGCCGCTCACGTTAAACACCACACGTTGACCGGTGGCCACTGCCCTTGGCCTGATTACCAAATTGGCGACGGTTTTGTCTTCAGTTAATGTGGCTGTGGAGCTCAGATTGTCGCTTTCTTCGCCGAGTTTATGAAGAGACCTGAAAGATGAGAGTGCATGAGGAATAAATGGGCATTATTGACAAGGGACACGGAAAAAAAAAGCAGTTTGCTCCTAGTTTGAGGAAACATGAAGAGGTACAATGAGGGTGCGATCGGGATTGATCGTGAACAGGATGTCCGTGAACAGGAAGATTATGAAAACTTTACAAAAATTTAAATATGAGTAGTTTTCGATAATATTAGTAAAGCTTGAATAAATACCTTGTCACCTTAGTTGGCTTAAGTTGAGTAAATGACTGATATTTGGATTTTTACCACTATGAGACGAGTAGGCCTCATGATATTTTTTTACTTCCCTTAGTCTTCACACTTGCCATCACCAAATTTCATTTTCCGCATCTCCAAACGGATTCCAACAATATTTGCTAGTATCTGGGCGACGTTTACTGTACTAAACCTTCGTGGTTGCAAGTATGCGACAAGAAAGGTACGATAGTGAAGGCAAGCCAGGTTTCCCCAACCTACATTTTTAGAGTGGAATGTCGATTAGTCAAATATATGAATGTCAAAGCAATCGAAAACGCAGTGAGCCATCACTGCGGGTTTCGTGCCTATGCGAACACAAACAGGCACATACAAATATAGAGACAGACACACTCACATGCATCGAAGTTGACATATGACCTTAACTAACCAAATCACTTTATACTTGATCGAAGAGGCCAGATGTAGAGTATATATACCACCATATTTAGCTTACCCTGACAAAAGATAGGTATTTAAATTTTCTCATAATGACGTGACAGTCTTTAAGCTCTACTTACAAACGATAATAAGTAACGTAGCGATTTCTATATTAAATACTACTTTATTTCGTCGACAATCCCAAGATGGAAAGAGAAATATGATAAAGGCTTAGGCTTCCTTGAAATTCACTTCTTCTATTTGACACGAAGTGAACGTGTGGAGGTGTGGCTTAGCGATTAGCTTGTCGAGGCTATGAACTGCACTACTCGGGTTCGAGTCCCGCTGGGAGGTTGATGAGACCTGGGCGATGTCAAAACACATTTTGGGAAGAAAGGTTATGTGAAGTCTGCCCATAGCATAGTAATAAAATTCAACTACTGGTTTTTCATCACCTAAACGAAATGGGGGGAACAAAGTACTTAGTTAAACAACTCTGTCAAACTATGGTTCATGACTGGTAGAAATGGTGCCCAACAAAGACAATAAATTAGATGTAAAGATAAGTTGCAAGTTGCAAGGCAGACATGGAGAATGCAAGAAGTTTAATTCTGCAGAAAACTAGATGAGAAAAACAGCGAACATAATTGGGGCACTCATCTGTGACCCGGTTTGGACGTATAGCCTCACCTAAGATCACACAAATACGAATAGCCAAGTGAAGATACAACAAGATTAATGGGAATTTTGCTTAAGTCCGAGATCAATTGGTTTCGATTATCGTGGGTTCGGTTTTTGTAATCGTTGTCATGAGCGCCAATGATGATAGTAAATATAAAGTAATATTCTATGATCAAATTGCATTCTACTCCATATCACAAAATGTCATGAAATCGTCTGCATTTCATCATTAGAAAAATTAAGGTCTGGTAATTGAGTTCTCCCAAAATAAGCTGAATAGGCCTCGCGATGTTATTAAAGTTTATTTAGGTTTGTCTCAGAAAAGGCTTTTTCATACAGACTCTACTGAATTGCTGACCTCGTCTCACCACCTCACCGGTACTCCTGACGGGATTCGAAAGCGAGTCTGGAACGCAGTGGTGGCAGGCTACTACTTGGCGGTACAGCCACGGGGTGGATGTGGGTCAGGAACTTAATTGTATTGCCGATGAAGCTAACATGTGAATGGAAAGAGAGCTTCGAATAATAGCCTTTTTGTCTGACTTTTGCAAAGCATGCTTAATGCTATGAGGATGTCTGTCGCATGACAGCCGAAAGCTCAGCTTGGCTTGATCCAGGTGGCTGGACAGTTGTTAGAGGACTTATTTGCATAAATCTACATTTAAAACTGCGAAGCAATCCTTCCTCGGCCTTCGGTGCAGCAAGTTTGCAAATCCTTTTGGCTCGCTTTCCAAAACGAAATGAAGGGTGTAATGACATGTATTTGGCCACTGCTATCAATGCTACTAATTAATTTCACTGTAAGTAGGCTTCGATATTAATAGTCATTCTAATTAAGAACATAGTCACCCTAGGTCGCATAATGTTAGCTAAGGAATGGTAGTGGAATTTTTCTCTAGTTCCAAAATAAGCAGTAATAACTCACTGGTTTGGACTAATAATGTACTTGATTTTTTTCCATATGTTTCTGACTCTTGACATTGACATTCTTAAGATACTCTGCATGCGCATGCTTCCGTTAAAGAAAGTCATTAATTCCTAACAGAAAAACATATCCAAATTTTGGTTTAAAAAAATATCACCTTGTGCCATAGCAATTACGCACAATTTATGTGAAAGAGCAGGCCAATTCCATGTTCGTCTGTGTATATTCTCATTATATTCGTATGTGAGTAGGATTTCGAGACTACCAGTAAATCATCTTATATTCTCATCATTCAATCGAAAGGAGAGTAAAGGAAACTATTTCACATTCATCCTAAGAAACGAAAAATATACTAATCCTAAGGGTATCAAACGGAACAAAAGCAAATATAAATTGCCATGTATCACAAGCCTCAAGTAATAGTCTAGACGAATTTATCCAAATCCCTACAAAAAGAGATTGGCCGAAATATTTCAAAGAGCAAATAAAAGTTTCTTTTGGATTTTTTGTAATAACTCTATTGAGCGAAGAGATGAAGACCAAGGTTGTGTGGCACTCAGTATGGTAGCAGTCTGGGAATTATGATATCCACTATGACATAGGACTTCGGACAAGGTGCGTCAAACTAAGTCCCCTTGACAATAAACCGAATTGCGAAATCCAGGTCAACAGAAGTATATTAAAGTTCTTTAAGATTCAGTTGAGCCTCTATTGGCATGGAACTTTCCCAAGTAAAAAGGAACCCCTTCGACAACGCCCAGCAAAATAATCAAGATCAAAGAATTTTTAGAAAACTAGAGACATACTATACAGAGAAGCTGGATTTCTAAGGCGTTGGGCTTTAGAAAACCAAACAAAAAATTCTAAATATCTCAGTACCCGCCTTAGCAACACC